GGGGCTGTTCCAGGGAGGACACATCCTGGGGAAGGAAGTGAGAGTCTCACCTGGGACCCAGGCTTCCCAGTGTGAACCTGGGAGGTGATAGAAGGAGCACCAGCTCCCACCTTCTAGGAAATGGGGGTGGCGCTCGTGACCACCACTCCTGAGCCCCCTTTGCAAACACATAGACTTCTTGGAAGGGGAGATGAAGGGAGGGAACAAAGACATCACTTCTCGGCTTTGAGCTTCAAGCTAGACTTTGTAAACTCTATGGTGACAGGAGGGTCAGTCCCACCTTAGAAAGAAGGCCCCCTGGGACTGGGGGAGGAGGACAGATCTGCCGTAGACCAGGAGACTTGGGGACCCCTGGTCTGCTTCTGGCACCACGGAGGCCCATCTCCCTGTGCCCAAATGCCCCCCGGGGAGACTGGTGACTGGGCTTACCTCAGAGGACTCAGTTTTGGCCCAAAGAGTGACTAAGCCAATAATACTTAAGACTGGCCTCGAACTCCATGTGTTAGATGGAACACCCTGCAAAGGGGCAGGATCACCGTGTGCTCTGGGCAGTTTGCGGGCCCAAGGGCCACAGGGGCGTAGGCCCCAGAAGAGAGGGAATTCCATTTCTGCACACGTGGGACACGGTGCATGAATTCCGAGACCCGCATCCCAGCCCCAGCACTTACTGCAGAAGCCCCTTCGCACACACTGTGGGTGTCACATGCTGGGGCACAGGGATCAAGTATGAGGGGGCGTTGCTAGGAGAGCAGGGAGGGTGGAGAGTGGAGAGCATCCCATGCTGAGGGGAGGCACCACACCAGGTTCCTGCTGCCAGAGGGACTCGGTAGCTCTGAGAGGGGAATGGGGCATTCTCCACGTCTCCACTCCTGCTCGCTGTCTAACCGCCCACTGGACCTCGACCTTGGCTGTCTCCTGGGCATCTCAAACTTGAAAGAAATTCAACTGAGTATGTCTATAAGGTTACAAGGATAAAATAGTATAAAGAGGCATATAGGGATGTCTCCCGGACACCCTAGCCCCTGCCTACTTAGTCTATCCCCAGAAGAGGGGATCCTCTTGCAAATGCCTCGTGTATTTTCCAAGAGCTTCTGCAACTAGAAATGCATATCCTCTTCCCCCTTTCTCCACAAACGGTGGCCGACTCTGCATGGCACGCTGCACGGGGAACTTTCCGTCAAACATCCGCGGCAGCGTGGAGTCTCCTCGTTCCCGTCTGTGGCTGCAAGGTGTTCCATTTCATGGTAGTGGGCCGTAATTTTTGATCATGGCCCCTAAGAGTGGGCCCTGCATGCTTCTCAACTTTTTTCTAAACTAAATAATGTTGCAGTGAAGTGAACAAACTTGCATACCTTTCACTTTTCAAGGGTGCAGGAGAAGCTGCAAGGAAGAAACAGCTGGTTCTGGGGTGTAAATTTTTGTAAATTTGATAGATTTTAATCACGAGCAGTGAGGAGGGCGTCTTCATCGCAACATATCGAAAGTTTTGAACTTGCTGGTCTGTCCCTCCTCCGTCCTTGGACTCATGTCTGGGAGCAGAAAGCCCATCCCAGCACCCCACAAAGAAGCCCTGACAGTCATCTTGCCAAGAGAATCTGCCCGTTCTCACCCGCTCTCCTACCACACCTGCCGTAAGCCGTGGCCCCTCTCGCCCGGACACCTGGGCGCGCACCCTGGCTCCCCTCCCCTCCGGGCTCTTGCTCCAGCCGCCCCAGCCATTTTGCACACAGCACCAAGCGCCGCTGAGCCAGGCACGGAACACAGAACAATCCCCGTCGCAGGATCGGGTCTGGTTTGCGCGCTTGGCAAGTCCTGGTGAAGGAGAGTCTGTCTGCCCTGCTGCGAAGTCCAAGGCCACTGGACTCCTCGGGCAAAGTGGCTGCACCTGGGTAAGGGCTCAGACTGTTGGTTCTTGAGTTTCGCCCCCAGATGTCACACACCCACCCGGGCATGATGCTCGCATCCCTCTGCCCCACGCACAAACCCACCTGGGCTTGGAAAGGAAAACAAAACATATTCAGTGCAGGCCAGCAGTGTGGAGGGGAAGGACTAGTAGGCCCCCCGAGGCCCTGATAGGGATCAATTAATTTAGAATTCACTTCAGCACATTATTCTGTCAAGGGGAAGGAGATACAGCTCAAATGATGAATGGTTCCCGTGAGGCTCACTGGGCTCGAAGCCACCCATGTCTCTCTCTAGGCTGGTGACAAGCAGACAGACCTCATTACAAGAAATGCACCTCATTCCCATGGGCAGACCCATGGACCTTCCCCTCCAAGGTGTTCAGAGCGTTTCCTAGGGTGTGTGAGGGGGGTGTGTGTGAGGGGGCCTGCATGCAGGAGGTGTGCAGGGCCTGCCGGGCATCCAGACTGTGTGGCTGAAGTTCCTCTAACCATTTCCCATCCTGAGATGGAACCAACAGTCTGAGCCCTTACCCAGGTGCAGCTACTTTGCCCAAGGAGTCCAGTGGCCTTGGACTTCATAGCAGGGCAGATGGACTCTCCCTCACCAGGACTTCCAAGCGCGCAAACCAGACCCGATCCTGCGACGGGGACTGTTCTGTGTTCCGTGCCTGGCTCAGCGGCGCTGGGTACTGTGTGCAGAGCAGCTGGGGCGGCTGGAGGAAGAGTCCGGAGGGGAGGGGAGCCAGGGTGCACGCCCAGATGTCCGGGGGAGAGGGGCCACGGCTTTCCAAGTTTTGGAAAATTAACCCGAGAGGCTCAGGAATGGTATCTGCTTTCCTGAGGCACTGGTTCGATGTTTCCCCAGCCTGAGTGGCAGGCTGAGCTGGACGCGGGCTCAGAGGCGCTCCGATGTAGCCCTGAGCCCGGGGCAATGAGGTTCACAAGAACGTCAGCACAGGGGAATCCCGGCCTGCACCCGGGTCATCCCAAGGGACAGGGCTGGGAGGGGTCGTGAAGGCTGACTCACCTGAGGACAAGGAGGCAGGCAGGAGCACTTGGACAGGGTCCTAGTTGCAGTCCTGTCTCCCGCGCTGGGACATGGTCCTGGGGAGCAGGGTGCAAGGTGAACCCCAATAGGCTGCGGGTTGCTAAACGCTTTCAGTGCGTTTCCCACTCAGGCATTTCCGCAGTAGTCACAAATGGCAATGCAGTTTCTGATTTCCTAGTAACTAAAATAGGCTTTCAGGAAAAAGGCTGGTTCTTCCAGTCTGCAGGAGAGACCAAGGGGAGAGACACCTGCCCAGAGAGGGGTTTGTAATGGGAAAGGAATAAGGATACACAGTCCCGGAACTTGGGGAAGGTCCGGCACGAAGTGGATCCTTCATGACTCTCCACGGTGTTGAATTTCACTGCAAGTTCCCTTTACCCCTCGATGGGGCATTTGAGGGGGAAATTCTCAGGAACCTGGGCTGCTGCTAATTTCCTTGAAATGATCCAGAAATGAATGACCCGCCTGCTGTCACACCTGTCTCCCTGGCTCTTGTCCTTAATCACTTCTAAATAGAGCTGTCTGTCGGGCAGCGGAATGCAGGACTCCCAGCAACTCCACTGTTTCTAGCACAGAATCATTCCAGAATCCTTTATTGTGCAAAGAGACATAACAAAAGGGGCTCAGAAGTAGGGTCATGAGAGCCTGTGTCTGTGGGATGAGGCAGGGGACAGAGAGGACAGGGATGGGAGGAATCCACAGCTCCTGACCCTGCATATGCCAGACTCCACAAGCTGCTTTGATCCCATAATCCCTGCAGCTCTAAGAGACCCCGTTGTCCTGACTCATGCCGAGAAAACAGGCACAGAGCGTTTGCCCAAGGTGACCCCAGGCAAAACTGGGAGTTCAACCCTGATGTCACCAACTTCGATGCCTACACATTCTCTATAAAACAATGCGCAGGGTCCACTCGACAGGAAGCGTGTGGAACTAAATGAACATGCCTGGAAACTGGGAGGTCCTATAAAAACTCGTGTCATAGGCTTTTAACTACACCCACTAACTCAAGACCCTGTGCCTCCAACACCCGCTGTGACTAGTTCGGGAATCACAGAGACATCGTTAAGTGCCTAGAAGACCAGGGGCTTCACACGGCGGTTAATACTTTTATTAAATTGCCTCCAACCTCTGAAGCTCATTTCTTCTCAAATGTGAAATCGTGTTTGTAGAGTTTTACAGGACACAGAATTTTACTAATATGATACCTGCTTTTGCAAGTATTTCCCAACACCTACTGCCAGGAATGTTGGAGAACAGAGGTGCCTGTACCCTGGAGGAGGAGCTGATGTCCTCTGTGTGTACACCCGTATCAGGGGTCAGTCACCAAATTCCGGCTGGATGACATCTGGCCCCCCCGCTGCTTTTGTAAATAAAGTTTTATTGGCACATAGCCATGCTGGATTCATCACATAGCATCCATGGCTGCTTTTGTGCTACAACCCAAAAAGTTGAGTACTTGCAACACAGACCACATGGTCCACAAAGCCGAAAAATTAACTAACTGGCTCTTTACGGAAAAAGTTTGCAGACCCCTGCTCTAAATCAAAATGAGGTGGTCTGAGAAAGAGCTGGGTAAGCTCGGTTCATGTAATAGGTGTCATGACGGTTCACTAAGCTCCCTTCCGACTACAAAACCCTGCAGTTCTCTGACTTCAGATGTGATTCAAGACCACACAGTACACTCTCCTCCCGCAAAGCAAACACTGCCTGCCACCTCCCAGACCGATTTGGTTTCTTGCTCTTTTTTCCCATAAAGCAATCCTCTCTCTCCCACGGAGTCTCCCCAGAGCATTAAGCAGAGTTTGCTGCCCCTGCCTGGAATTGGCCCAGGCTCACTGCTCCCTCTGGGTCTGCAGGAGCCCCTGGGAGGGCAGAGAGCTCTCTCTACAGTTTGCCATCAGGGTGTGCCTCATTTTAGTCTTCACAGGGAGGTTCCCAGGCAAACAGGAAGAGGCCAAGGGCCACTGAGCCCTGGTTTCCCTGAGCTGGCTCCTTCTTGACTAGTACAGTCATCTTGTCGACCTGAGCCCCCCAGCAGGGGAGCAGCCATGCCTTACCTCTATCGGGCCCCAGGGCCCCAGAAGCACCCGGTTCCCAAGGATGCCCGCATCACCCACTCCTCAGGCCAGAGCTTCGAGCAACTGAGGCAGGAGTGCGTGCAGAAGGGAGTCCTGTTTGAGGATGCAGACTTCCCAGCCAACAGCTCCTCTCTCTTCTATAGAGAGAGGCCCCAGATCCCCTTCGTGTGGAAACGGCCAGGGGTGAGTGTAAGAGGAAGTGGTGGGGGTGGCAGGCAGGGGTGTGGGCTCAGCAGCCTGGCAGAAGGGAGCAAGGAGAGGAGGGGCTGGGTGGGTGGGCTACACACAGACACATCTGCCAAGCACATCTGCCAAGTCCACTGTTGAGATGCTATGCAGTTTGCAGAGGGAATGACATGCAGGGGGCACGCACAGCAAGCCAGGGATGGCCCCGGGGCCGTGCCCAGGGTGTCTGGCTACACCCCATCCCCAGCTCTCTGACTCCCACCGAGGTGAGCCCGGGACGAGAACCCAGAGCCAGAGAGGGGCTTGTCATTAAGTGGTGAATGGGAGACAAGGCTCAGGTGACACGTTCTATGGGAACCCAAAGGCAAACATGCAGAGCTGGGTGGGAGGCAGTCTTGCCCCGTGTGCTGAGGCTGCTGGGATGCATGTGGGGTGCCCGTAGCTTCTGGCTGCAGCCCAGGATGTTCAGTGTGGATGGACACTCACGCAGCAAGTGCTCAGTACATATGTGATGGATAGAACACTCGGGAAGCAGGGCCTCTCTCCCCAAACCACGCATCTCCCTTCCCAGAGGGGAGCCAGCGTCCGAGCTGCCCCACCCCCAACAGTCTGGAGGTGATGGTCCCCAGGGGCACCAGCTGGTGCCTCCCACAAGGAGTCAATATTTGCTGTGCTGGATTAGTCAGGCCTTGACCTCCGCCTGGGCGCCACTGGCTATCATTCCTTCCAGGTGGGGACACCTTCCAGGTGGGGCCCCTATGGGGAGAGGTTGCTATGGACAAGGAGAGCACAAAGAGGACTGAACAAAAGGTGAGGCCCTGAGTGCTGGTCCCACCCTGCCACTGATTTGTCCTGCGACTCTGGTCCTGGTACTTAACTCCCCGGAGCCTCAGTCCCCTCCCCTGTGAAACGGGAACAGAAACGACCAATGTAGATCCAATGTCCAGCAACAGTCCGCAGTAAGTGGCAGCTGATGTCATGATTGCTATTACGGGTGTCACCCCAGAGCAATGCCACCGACGGCTACATGACCTCCTCTCTGGACCCCACACAAACAGCGCCCGCAGGACGTTTATCACAGGCACTCTCAGGATCAACACCTGCGGCCGGACGGGGAGCAGGAATGGGCAGATGGAGCCTCTGGGCTGTCATGTGGCCCCATAAATGGCCCCACAAAGCCCTCAGCCAGTTGCACGGGGTGCCCTGGCCTAGGATGGACCGTCAGAGTCGTCTTGTGTTGGGGGGACAGCGTCACCTGTGTCTGTGCCCTCACCGATGAGTCACTGGATGCAGTACCCCCGAGAGCCATGACCTTGGAAAAGGTAGCTTTTTCAGCAGCCCCAACAGAGGGAACGAGCCGAGCCCCTCCCCGCTGCGGGGGATCCAGGCCATGCACCACACAGAGCCTCACTTTCCTCTTCCACAAAAGGGGGGTTATAATGCTGCTTCCCTTGCGGGGCTGTTACAGGGATTCCCGTGTTAGCGTGTAGAGCGGGCAGAAAGGAGCCCGTAGATGGGTGTCCCTGACTGTGTTTGCTAGGCAGCACATACAGGACCGTGCTTGTAACCCGACTGTCCCCTCCCCGCTGGAGGAGGGCGCCCTGCCTTGCGGTCTGCACCGCCACCCACTGGCTTAACGTGTGATTCCGCCGCCGCGTTCGACTCACCTTCTCTTTGCCGAAGTTGGAGTTTCTCCAACAGAAAAGCTGTCTGCACACAGGCCAGCATGGAGAACGCCTTTGTTCCCGCATGTGGAGTGGAGCAAGGACCACCCAGACCCCCAAGGGAGTCCAGAGTCCCAAATCCCAGCTCTAGGAGGTGGTCATCCTCACTACTGATCTCTCTCGGGGTTGCCCCAAAGGATGGGTGAGGCCGCCATCCACTCGGGGGCCCTCCACCCGCGACCAAGGGCAGAACGATTTCTTTATTTACCTCAACTCAGGTCTACTGTTGCTGTCCTTCCCATGGATTCATTCTCAGAATCCGTTCTGCCTTTCCCTTTGTGTGCCCCTGAGATGGTCCCTTCTGTACTCACTCCCAGAAACAGCCCCGTCTGTTTGCAATCCGAGGGGCTAGGGGTTTTGCAGACTTCTGACAGACTTGTGTGAAGTCAGCAGCGAGGGGCTGGGTGGGGGTGAGGATTGAGATTCCTCTTGCAGGATGGAGGGCCAGCGTCCCCTGTGTGCAGGTGGGCGGGCGGCAGGAGGGAAAGGCTAAGCGTTGCCAGTGTCCCTCCAGAAGGCTTTTGTGGCTTGGGTGCTGTTTGCATGTCTGCTCAGCACTTAGGTGGTGCACGTTCGGGCAGCAAGTGCCGAGCTGCCCAGGGGGACCGTGCTGCACTTCCCAGCACCACCTTCTTGTCAAACACAGCTGTGCTCGCGGGCGGGGGCATGAGCACCAGAGCGGTTGGAATCAGAAAAGTCAGGAGGACACCAGAGGGCAGTGGGCAGCCGGGCCCACCCTCCAGAGAGCCCCGGGCAAGGCGCACACCGAGGGCGAGCCCCTGGGGGCCTGCAGCGGGGGTGGGGCGATAGGCTCCGCTGGGAGAGGAGGGGGAATCCCCTCCAGTGGGCCTCTTGGAAAGGGCTGTGTGTCGGAGTGGGGAGGAGTGGGTCTGGGGTGCAGCCAAGGGCCTGCCTTCCTGGGCCCGCAGCCTGACTTCCTTAGCTCACAAGCGCTTCCTTCGGCCTTTTCCTCCTCGCCTCCCTGTCTGCCTGCATCCTTTCTGCTTTCTCCTATGCAATTCCCTCCCTAACTTCTCAGCCTAAACCCAGGGTACCTCTTTGCTGAAGATGCTCATACCCCTCTAGCCCAGGCTGACGGCCCCCTGGCTGAGACTGCCCTGCACACCGGGCCTGCCACTCTGTGCCTCCAGAGACACCCCCGTATCCCCACGCGTCTTCACAGCCCTGGGTAGCACACAGCCGCCGGTCGTAGGGCCCAGCCCCTCCAAACTCGTTACAAACGCGGCTTCTCCCCGTTCAAATTAATGACTAAGTAAAGAAAAGTCTGTGTGCGTGGCTGAGCCCCTGATGATGTACGAAGTGAACAGAACAGGCCCCAAGAGGGAACATTCCGGGACGCCTAGTCCTCTGTCTGGGTTCGCTTCGGGTTTGTCGAGACTCCTCTGATCTTCCTGTCCCAGGACAGTAACAGGTAACCCTCATCCTCAAGCCCCCAAACAGCATTTCGCAAGAACAAACGTACCCCTGGGCCCCACACACGCAGGCCGTCCAGGCACAAGCGCAATGCATCCAGAGCACACACGGAACCAATACGCATGTCAGACGGGCGCCCGTCACATGCTCCCTGCGCCTGAGACCCACATCTGTCGGCGCTCGCGGCCACATGGCCGGTGGCCGCGGGGCCGCCCCTTCGGCCTGAACATTCACGGACCCCGCGCGGATTCACTGACTCCCAGGAACGCTGGACAGACCCCTGTATCAGCCACGTGTCCGGGGAGCTCACAACTTCACACCTGATGGCTCATTCCTGTTCACTTGGTGAGACTTTCTGAGTTTTCTCCTTCTGTATTTTTCTCCATCCATCCACAGTTTGAGGCAATTTGGTAAAACTCTCCTGGACAAAAACAGCTAGCTGCAAGATGGAGCCGAGAGGCAGTGGCAGCTGTTGGCCCAGTTGGTGCTGTTGGCAGGATGGGCCAGCCGAAGGCGGGGGAGGGGAGGGCCACGAGGGGGGGCGGGGGGGCCTCCTCGCCCACAGCCCATCTGGCCTCCAGAGGCCCACGTCTGCGACAGCCTGCTGGGCAGGGTCCGCCCGCCTTCGGAGTCAGAGATTGGGATGGGGCCGGGGCGGTGGGAGTTTTGCTGGCTGGAACCCTGCTGCGCTCCCCCGATAGGGGCTGGCTGCCGTGGGAGCTCCTGGGGGGCCCTTGGGAGCAGGGGCTCCTGTACACATTGTGCACCTGGCCCCAAATGTCCACGACGGAGGAAGGTGGCCTCACATGACAGATGGAGACATAGCCTGGAGAAGCTAGATGGCGCGCCCAGAGCCCCTCTGCTCATCGGGGAGGGCTCCTGAGGGGAGCACGTTTTCCTGGTCGGTTTGCACCTTCCCACTGGCCTGGTCCGGAGCCACCTGCAAACACCTGAGGAAGAGGAGTCGGGAGAGCCGTGTGAGAGGGTCTGCACGGGCCAGGAGACTGGCCCAGAGGAGCTGCCCCCATCCCCATCCATGGCCCTGCCTGCCCTTCAGGAGCCGGCATTCGGGGTGTCGGTCGGACCCCTGCCACGCCTGGGCTTGTGGTGAGCTGATGGCACAGTGTTCAGAGATTCTCCTGGCCCAGTTTACTGAAACACTGGAAAAACACATAAGCCCACGCAGTGCTCTCTGGGCAGATGTCCGGGGTGTCCATCGCTCCACGAGGCCGGCACATCCCAGGGGCTGCAGGGAGAGCGCCGTCATTTTACACGTTGGCTCTTCGTCTTAAGCAATCCCCCTTCCTGCAAAGAAATCGCCATCCTCCTGCTGATACTTTGGACGCAGACCAGAGGAGAAGTAAGGTCCCGGGGAGCTTGAGGAAGACCGTTCAGGGCAGAGCTGTCCCCTAGGCCACCACCCAGGTACTGGTGAGGTCTCCTGCTCCAGTCCTGTTTCTGGAAAGAGGTGGGAAAAACCCCTCACTCGGCCTGCATTCAGATCCTCTTTTTTTTTTTTTTTTAAAGATTTTATTTATTTATTTGACAGAGACACAGCGAGAGAGGGAATACAAGCAGGGGGAGTGGGAGAGGGAGAAGCAGGCTCCCTACTGAGCAGGGAGCCCGATGCGGGGCTCAATCCTGGGACCCCAAGATCATGACCTGAGCCGAAGGTCATGAGTCAGAGTGAGCCACCCAGGCGCCCCAGTAGGCATGTGATTTTTAATGTTGCAGCTTCCAAATACTGTTTCCAGTAATAGAAACCTTCCACCCCATCTGTTCAATGGCTTTTCCTTTCTGTCCACCTCCAAGACACTTACCTTGCCTGCACATTTCACGTAATGAACATCTTAAATGATGAGCTGCAAGCTGCATCCTAGACTCTGCAGAAGTTATACTAACCTAATTTTTACACATCAAAAATATGATTTGTGCCCAGCACATGAGGATCAAGTGTTTTGAGCTAAAATTTCTGGTTAGTTGATGAATAGAAGTTTTTTACTTCTACTCTCTTTCCTCCAAAATCTTTCTGAAATGCACTGGCCCTTTCTCCTGGTCCGGGGCAGAGCATGAAGGGCATGGCTGAACATCTTTCTTTACTGGCTCAAGGGTTCTCCATATGGACAGCAGAAATCCTCACCTGACACCTGAAAGGGGGAATATTGGATTCAGAAGACTTGGAAGTGGTTTTTGTTTATCGTTGTTTAAATTCCCAGCGTGTGCCTATATACTTTTCGTTCATCTGTGAGTAAGATATTAAGGATGAAGAAAACTCACTCATAGGTCCCTGAGCACTTGGGACAAATTACTCTTTACCTCTCGCTGTGCTAGATGCTGACGATACACCAATAAATAAGACTCGGCCCCCGCCTCTAGGGCGATTCCAATCCAGACAGAAAACTCATTCATTTGAAGATTCACATGAACTAATTTCTTGTTATTTGTAATTCTACTTTATTTCCCAGATGCAGCGTATCCAATTCTGGGGTGATTAATAATCATTGTTGGTGATGCCAGCCACTGTGCTCACTAGGAATTAGAGAGTTCCAAGGGCTAGTTAAGAATTGATGAGTTTTGACATGTCTTTTGCGTGTCATAGTCAAGAGGCTTTTGGGAAAGCCAACCGTGGCTGGAGGAGAAGTACTCTGGAGCTCACGCATGAATTTATCATTCCACATTGCCCTGATGTTTTTCCCCTCTAGGTAAACTTCCAAGGCCAGAAAACGGAGCTCATCAGAGTGCGGAACCCTTGGGGCCAGGTTGAGTGGAAGGGGTCCTGGAGTGACAGGTCAGTCCCTGCCTCCTTGCCTTCCTGGGGCTTCTGCAGGCGTATGAAGAAGGGGCACTGTGTCTACAGTTCCCTCCTGGCTCTCGTTCAGGGGACTGTCCTGCTGCTGGGGTGACCTCACTTCCTCCCTCTTCAGCCCTCTGGCCCACCATGCAGTCAAAATTGAACACCCTTGTAACGGCTTTTTCACCTTTCCAGGTACTGTTACTTACGTTAGTGGATATACTCCCTCCCATGGGGAGATGTCATCTCCCCATGATATTGTGAGAGGCTTTATCTCCAGTGATGAGTAGCTCCAATATGCAGGGTGTGTGTGTGTGTGTGAACGCACGTGTGGGGGGTAGGGGTGGCCATGAGTATTTGAGGTGTGAGAATCCCCGAAATATTGCCAAGCAGGTCACTACAGGGTTCTCTCTGATTGGTCCCTGGCCATTGGCTAGAGATCCAGTGGAGTCTGGAGTCTGGACTTCCAGAGCAGTCAACCAGGGTTATTTCTTGGCCCCCAATTATATAGAAAGGTCTCCCTTGCGGGTATGTGTCCCTTCCTCATCCCTCGCGAAGCGGCCCAGGTGGCTAGCATCCGGGAACGTTTAGATGTGCTTGGGCAGGGCCTACTTGAGCCACCTGCTCCCTCAGCCAGGACTCTGCCATCTTGGGGTCCTGCTGTCCCACCCCTGCCTGCTCACAGCTCGTGGGACTCTGGGGAGACCTCCAGCATGTCTAGAGCCTCAGTAAACGAACTTGAGTTGTGTTTGTCCTCAGAGCACGAGGCCACCATGTCGCCAGCCATCAGTGTCTGTGTCTCTGTTAACCTGACTCCAGCCTGAGGGTGCGGGGGCTTGTGGTCCCATCGTGGTTCTTGTCCCACCACCTTCCCCCCACTTTGGCTTCTGCCGTCTCAGAGCCCAGGGCCTTTGGCAGAGATGGATTCACACCAACATCACAGGAGGAAAGAGATCGGCCTCCCTCTCCTGGCAGAAATGGAAAGAACAGACATATTGAAATTGAAATTAATGAGCCTGCTTCATATCACACATAGACTATTAGAGTGTTCTTCCGTTTAGAGAACACAGCGTGTAAAAGGGCCATTTTTTTTTTTTCTTCTCCTGGGAAACACGCAGAGGGAGAAATAAGGGAAGTGCATTTCCTGGGGTCAAGGCTGGAAGCGAGCTTTCCTCCTGCTCCCACTCAGCCTCGGGGTGACGGAGGGCAGGTCCCCATCCTGATCCCTGCTCCTGACCCCGCCTGTTAGGAGCGAAGTACTGAAAGCGCGTTAGCCTGGCAGGCCCCTTTTGGGGTGTGAGCCCCTCGGAAGGTCCTGGCTCTGGGTTCTGCTGTTCTGACCCTGCTGCGCAGGACCTGGAGAGGGGCTTCTCCTGGGTCCTTCCCGGGACGAGCTCTGCAGGGTGTGGATGAGGGGGCCACGTCGGTTGGGTACCCCGGCGGCAGTTACTCAGCTGGAACAATTTGGAGGCGGCTGTAGGGGTCGCAGAGACACGGTGAACTTGGAGGCTTCCTGGAGAGCTCACCTAAAGAAAGCGTTTAGTATGTGAAATGTCAAGCCCAAGCAAACATAAGATACTATTATCACTTTCTGAAAAGTCACTTACCAATGAAGAAGAGCGATCGGGAGATGCTCTGGGGCACACGTCAGTCCCCTTCTGACTTGCAGTGGAAGTTTCTGCTACCTTGCTAGTGTTCAACGTCCTATGATGGTCCTGTGATAAGCCCCTACAGAGGGACTTCAAATGATCCCGAGGACCTTTGGCCATTGGCTGCTCTTGGACGCGCACTTTGCAACCAGCTTCTAGATCCCCTGGGGCGTTCCCGGGGCCCAGGGAGTAGGCACTGACCAGGATCAAGCCCCACACAGCCACCACCCTGGCGCCTCGGGAGGGACGCTCACGCCCCGACAAGGCCAGTCTTGTTTCAGCCGGCTTTGCTTACTCCTCCTAGTTCCTCCGAGTGGCATTCCATTGGCGCAGCCGAGCAAAAGCGTCTGTGTCACACGGCTCTCGACGACGGGGAGTTCTGGTACGGTGCTCGTCTCTGTTTTCCTTTCGGTATTAACTATATAACAGGTATGAGCACAGTGCCCTAGAGCCCTTGGTTTGCTTGCTTGCTTTCTGTCTGTCTTTGTTCAGTTTCTTTGGTAAATCAAATACATTGGTCTCAAGCCCCTTATGTTCACCCAGGTTGGCAGAGAATTTGATATGAAGATGGGGTTGAGCCTGGGTCTCCAGCCCAGCATCCCTCCTCTGAACTACCCATCATCCAAGTTTGCGTGGTGTATTTGAAGACAGGCAGCCCCGCTGCTCCTGGGGGCTACCCCCTTGTCCCACTTGATGACAAAGGCCCCTGAGGACAGTGACCTTGACAGCATCCAAAAAAATAGACCTAAGTGGGCAGGAAACATTCCTAATCTGGACTTTCTATGGGGTGGAATCTCTTTGCTTAACTGGGAGTTTTTAATGGGCCTTTGTTTCTAGAAGCTTCTTTGATCTTGTTTCTTCCTGTGGGGTCCAGAAAACAGTTGGCTCTTCCAACCCTGCAAGACCACACATTTCTGATGTCCAGCTTTCTTCCCTGATGAGCAAACCAGTCAATTCTTGTCTGAGCTCACTTTTTTTCTTACAGGCCTTATTAAACACAGCAAGCAAAAACCAGCACACACACTAATATGCTAGCTTTTTCCATCCTTTTCCCCTTGAACACAGCCTCTGTCTTCCATATTTTTACAGTTTTAACAAGTATACTGCCATTTGTAATGTGGATATCTATTTTCCAGCCCTAATATTTCCTTGAAACCTGCCCAAGTGCTAAGCTGATATCACATAGTTTAGAATTCTGTCACGGTGGCTCCATACTTCAAGGCACCAATGACTTAGGGTCACACCAGCTGCTGTAAGAAGTAGACTCAAAACGTATAAAGACTCAAATGCAATAAAGTTTATTTCTCACTAATTGTAACAGTCCAGGAGGACATCCCTATTCTGTGGGTGGCTCTCCCCATGCAGTGATTCAGGGACCCAAGCCCCTTCCTCTGTGTGGTCCCACCATCCCCTGGGGTCACCCAGCCATCTGCAGGAAGCCAGCAGAAGAGGAAAGACAGGAAAGATTGGAGGAGACACCCCCACTTCCTAAGAGCCTTGACCCGCACATCACTGCTTACATCCCACTCTAGATGCAAGGGGTGGGCTACAGTCCCTGAACCTGGGTTTTCCTTAGCTTTGCTTGTGTATTTTCTGTCTGCCCACACGTGAGTTCTCCTCCGTCCTTGAGGACAGGTGCGGGCACTCACTACCGGTTGGTTAGATGATTAAGCGAATGAATGGATCATGGCATCACCATCACTTCCTATGGAGAATGGTGTCTCTCCACCTTGTTGCAGGATGGCGTTTAGGGACTTCAAGGCCCACTTCGACAAAGTGGAAATCTGCAACCTCACTCCTGACGCCCTGGAGGAGGATGCTCTCCACAAGTGGGAGGTGACGGTCCATCAAGGAAGCTGGGTGCGGGGCTCCACGGCCGGGGGCTGCCGCAATTTCCTGGGTTGGTAATCTGTTTGTCACCCTCTCTGTCATTGCCAAGTGTCCAGTGCAGTCTGGGGGACATCAGCAGGTCAGCGCCAGGACCCTAGAGAAAGCCTGAGTGTGGAGTTAGTAGGATTTCCGGGATGGCTGGTGAGGGCTACAGAGATGTAGCTGGAAGTCAGATAAGAATTGCTCGGGGAAACTCTTGTTTGGTCACTTAGGTTATCTCCCATGACAAGTAATAGAAAGCACAACTCATGCTAGTTTAGCAATTCAAAGAATTTTTTCCTTGCATAGCTGAAAAGTTCAGAGAAGTAGGGTGGGCTTCAGGCATAGTTCCATCAACTCATTGGTCTGGAATTCTCTGCTCTGTCCTCTTTCCTCTGTTGACTTCTTCCTCAGTCTGGATTTCTTTATAGTCACAGGAGGGCTGCCAGCACCATCCAGGACTTCCTGAGCCCTCACTTGTGCACAGGGTCATCCAACGAAAGGCCCCAACTTCCCTCTAACTGGGAATTCCTTGTACCCATATTGCCTGGTGAATGCTTCAGGCTGATTGGATTTGTTCCAACTGTCCGCAGCAAGAGGGACTAGGATGAACCAATCAGCGTTCACGCTTGGAGCTGGGAGTGGGGTGGATTCTGCTCACACTGCACAACCAGAGGGGCACAGCACTCTCCTCTGAAATATCACACAGGAAAAATAAGATGGAGCAAATCGGGGACCCAGAAGAATGTCTTTATAAGCTGCATGGGAAATGGCTCAAGAGAAGGTGGAGTTGAAAGGGGAGCACTTGGCCTTCTCACCGGGGTTACGGGAAGTAGAGCACAAGGGCCATCGGAACAGGGAGAGAAGAAATGAATGACTTTCTCAGGTTTGGGAGGATGTGGTGGGGGTGGATGGAGTGTGGTGTGTGTGTGTGTGTGTGTGTGTGTGTGTGTGCATGTCTTTTGTGGTTTTTTTAAGGAAGATGAAATAATTCACCTCTTTCAAAGGGCAGATACCTTCTGGACCAATCCACAAATAAAATTGTCCCTGACTGAGAAAGATGAGGGGCAGGAGGACTGCACTTTCCTCGTAGCCCTGATGCAGAAAGATCGAAGGAAACTCAAGAGGTTTGGAGCCGACATGCTGACCATTGGCTACACCATTTACCAGGTGGGTAGGAACTAAGCCACTCTTCGGAGCCCACCGCCTAAGGTGCTGGACTCTCAGCTCCTCCTTGGCCACATGCCCGAGACTCAGTGGCTAGTCCCCCAACTGGGTCCAAATACCCAAAACCAATGGCCCTCCTTATAAAATCAACCCCATTATGCTTCCATTGCAGAGCCCTGGCAAAGACGAGCATCTGAACAAAAACTTCTTCAGGTACAATGCTTCCCAGGCCAGAAGCAAAACGTTCATCAACCTGAGAGAAGTCTCCGACCGCTTCAAATTGCCCCCTGGGGAATACATCCTGATTCCCAGCACTTTTGAGCCCCATCAGGAAGCCGATTTCTGCCTGAGGATCTTTTCAGAGAAGAAAGCCATCACCCAGTGAGTAACAGGCTCAAGATTTCCTCTTCATTTAGTGGCTCAGTCCCTGGGAAGTCACAGGAGACTGTTGGAGCCATGACCCCTTTCTTCCCTTCTCCACGATCCACCTGAGAAACCAGGAGGGTTTCTTAACCCATTTGCAAAGCAGGATATGTTTCCATTTTGGTTCTGCTCCTTCCTTCCCTCGAACAAGCCACTGAAAAGCTGTTCTCTCCAACCACTCCCAGAATCATGCTCACCAGACCCTCTCGGGTGGAGCCCTTCATTTTCCAGACCCTATTTTCAAGAAATCTCTGGAGTGGGACCCACAATTAGAAGTGCTAGACTCATTTTTGAACACAGTGAAGGGGATGACTATTACAAGTTTCCTAAATGACCCGTTCTTTCAGCTTCAGTTTAAATAAATGTGGCCAAATTGTTTGGGGTTGGTCTCAGCCTATGGGCAGCGATGCCATCAACTAGGAATGCCCGAGAGAACTCACCTGGGCCTGTACTTCCTGTGGTGAACCCCCAAAGACGTTTCCCCAACCAGAGCCAACGTTGAGGCCAGACTGACCCTTGTGGATCTTTTTAGGATTGCAAGATGTATCTCGGCAACAACCCAAGGAACTTTGAAAAGACAAGGTTTATTACTTACAGGTTCTGGAGGGTACATGGCACACCTGGGGCCACAGAGTGATGTCCTGAGTAGAGAGAGAGAGAGAGTACACAGGCCTGGGGTTCTGCCTTTATTGGGGTCGAGGGTAGGCCCCTAAGGTTTCGCAGGCTCCTTATTGGTGAACTTCAAACATAAAAGCAGGAATTAAAGTGCTTGAAGGAAAATCAAGCAGTGGGCCAAATGGTCTACCAGAGCTTTTTTTAAAAAAGAGGGAACCTCGTGGGTAGGGTGGCTGGGCTTTGTATCTAGCTGTGTAGCTGGCTGTGTGTTTGAGATGAATGTCTTTGAAATGGATGCCTCGACGGTCAAAAACTTAATGCCAGGCACTTACACTACAATCAAAAAAGCTAATTGTCAAGTGCTTACACTACACAAGTCTGCCTTCTATTTTATATACCCGACATTCTGCCACCTCCCCCTTTGCAGTGTCTTAGCAAAATTATTTTGTGTTAGATACTTCTCTGAAAAGTTTCCCATTACTACCCTTTGCCATTGGTTGCTCTATGGCAGAGGGAAAAAAATGGTACAAGATACTAGCATCCACTTCTTTTCCCAGTAGAGACATTCTAGAGATTGCAGAGAATGGTCAAATTGGCTAATTCTGCATTTGAGCTAGATCAATCCCCAACTAGGGACCGGCCTTAGATAACAAGATGGAGCCAGCTGTGAGTTCATGGCCTCTGGTTTTATCTTTTGTTTAGTGGGATAAGATTGGATTGGCGGCAGGCGTTGAGAATACCCCCAGTTGTCCAGTCTGGTTGGGTTTCCCAAGCTGATTACAAAAGCTATGGTTCCTTCTCCTCAGCTAAATAGAAGCAATTAAAGATCTTTCTTTAATTTTTGAAAATTCTGCTGGAGAGTTGATCTCCAGTCTTCTCCCAGATACTGGTACAAGCTGAGGATGGATTTCCCAAGATCTGCTCACACAAAAACACCCACACGAAAGTCGTGCAGACTGACTGCTCTTGTGGGCAAGAAGAACAAGAGAGGAGAAGCCAGGCTGTACCTGCCCCACACCTGTGTTCCCTGACCCAGCAGTGGGGCACCGTCCGAGTCCTGGGCATTTGTAGATGGTTCGACATGGCAAAGCTAAGCCCATACTCACGCTTGCCCCCAAATGAGGTCCTTTAATCTGCTGTGATCTGGAACATAAGCACCAGCTTTGTAGCTCAGTGATTGAAGAATCACATGAAGCTCTGTTTCCATTGGCTTCGTCCTCATGAGATTATCCTAAATAACCTCTGAAAAGTGTTCTGTTGTGCGTGCCCAGGGGATAAGGAGGAGGGGAGAACTAACCTAGTTCCATCTTAATGTTTGCTTGTTGGTATCCCCTTTGACGTTTTAGCAGTTTTTCTTGGGGAGTGCTTCGTGTTTACTCTGTAAGATTAGATTCTTCCAAATGTTTTAGCATCACCGAAAGCTAAAGCCTGGTCCTCTTCTCAATATTACCACTTCCCAAACACTATAGGTTCCCCTAAATATGTGAACAGGGAAATAAACATTTCCATTGTTTGTCCTCTTTTCCCCAGACATAAGCACACACACACAGCCTACCCCCGACACCCACAGTGAGAGCAGGGATTCACTTCCTCGGGGAGGGGCCAGGGGTAAAGGATGGAGCTTTTGGAGGGAATTTTAAGTTCTGACTCAACTTGCTCTATAATCTTTTCCAATTCCCCCAGAAATAATTCACCCTCAGTAGACTGAATGATGGTGTCCAAGGAACTGAATCTCCTTTGGGGATGTAGAGCTCATGGGGCATATTTAATGAATCTACTTCACTTGTGGGTCCTCTAGGGTTCTGCTAGCCTATGTAACACTTCATAAACATCCCTTGTTATAGGGCATCCAGGAAACAGGGGTGGCAGCTGGTTCAGTTTCTTTTACTTCCAGAAGTTTAGAACTTACAAGTTTTCCTTGCCGATGGCTCAATTGCCTCCCTCTTATTTTCATGCCCAACAGGGTCTGAGTAATAAGGGGGAAGAGAGGGAGGTCAGTGCAGGGGCTCTGCGGGCCCTGTGAAAGGTAAACCTCATGGAAAAAGAAGGGCTTCAATGGGCCAGAAACTTCCACTACCTCTGGGTCCTTGAGTGCTGCAGATCCTAGAGAGGAAGTTAATCCACAAGTAAGCCAGCGTGTTTTCTGCCCCCCAGGGACATGGATGGGGACGTGGACATTGAACTTCCGGAGGTGAGCCTTCGTAGGGTACTCTGGAGGGTGGGGTTCAGTGACTGTCCCGAAAGTTCCCTTCAATCACAGTGTCATTCAGAGCTTTGAAGTTCAGGGAATCGTTTATCTGCGATCCGGTGAGTACCTTGATTCCAACCTCGTGGGGGACACGCCTTCTACCTTCTAAGGCTCTCATGTCCCACCAGGATGGGGCATGGGAACGAGGTAGGTGCCCTGAAGAAAGCTTTGTTTGGACCAATGTTTCTCTGTGCACGATGTTTCTTCACCATGAAATTGCAAACATGATTTTGTCCAACTCGCTCTGTTCCGAGAGTTGGGTGCTGCTTCTGAAGGGGGTGGGATGTCTTTAAAATGCATTCGGTTTAAGAAAAATAATCAAGAAGAAAATGAGAGTGGCTAGTAGATTCCCTGACAGTGGACTTGGAGGAACACGGGACTTCCTCCCTACCATATGTGTATTGGTAGGAGGCAGAGGGGGTGGGTTTTATACTTGTCCAAGGGCTGTAAGACTTTGAAGAGGTGCTGAGGTGTACCTGGGACAGTGTGACGCTTCCAAAGTCAGCACTGATCTGCACAAAACAAAACTAAAACACCCAAAGCATTTGCTGAGCTCGTTCCATGCGCTAAGCCCAGGGCTGCCTGCTAGAGACAGACTGCGGCCTTCAAAGATTTCACCACCTGTCAAGACAGATGGTTCAGCAAGTAATTACAGCTGAGAGTGGTGAGGAGTCTGATAGAGGAGGTGCAGGGAGCCGTGGCCACCCTGGCTGGGACCCCAGCTCGGTCAGGACTCCAGCCTCCCTTAGCGCGCTTATCTGCAAATGTCCCCCCTGATTGGTCCTTCCAGATTCTCCCGCTGAAGAGCCTTCACAAGGAATCCGACTGCCATTCTTAATGCTCCAGGCAGTGGCCACTTCTGGCCCCTCCTCACCGCAGTGAGGTCCCAGCCTCTCCCGTGGGACCACAAGGTCTCCTGTGCGCGCCTCTTTTTCTTGGTATTTCTTTGGGATAATTGTAAACGCCAAGTGTCTTTTCTGTGCATCCCATGTAAGTTCCTCTGGTTTCTTCTTAGCCTCCGAAGCCGACTCCACCTGGCCAGGAGACAGAGGAGGAACTGCAGTTCCGGGCCCTGTTTGAACAAGTTGCGGGTGAGGTAGGGCTGACTGCAGGCTGCCCTTGGCCTTGACCCCCTGCAGTGCTGAGGGGCCTGGTTTCTTCCACAGCCCAGGGATGCAGTAAGGTGTTTGTCAGCAGCACTTCCCAGAGGCCTGGTGGAGCTAGAGCCAACGAGAGGCCAGGCCTGATCATTTGGGAGGCTCTAAAGACCGCCTCCCCCACTGCACCCCTCCCGCCGGGCTGCCACCATTGGTGGGACAAGGGCCCCCAAAGGAGCTCAGCCCGGCCCAGGGGCTTTCTGTGGAAGGCTAGAGGAAGCCTTGAAGAGGTGGCTCATTGCACCCTGTCCACAAACCACTGCCTTTAGAATGTTCTCTCTGCTCTGGTGGAAGGTGGTATTGTTCGGGGACGTCACCATGAAATTGCAAACATGATTTTTGTCCGGTAACATCAGCGGCATGGCTAGGTTTGGCAGTTCGGGCCAGGGCCAGCCACTGGGGAAGGAGAGGATCTGTCTCTCGCCTCCTGCTCTCCGACCCCGACCCCGTTCTTGCCCCCTCGGTTGTCAGCTTGTTTGTTGGGGGCCCTGGCCACTCTTGGGGGCCCTGGGTATCCCTCGCCCCAGGCTCCGTTCTCCTAGAAACTGCCCCACCTGTGCTCCCTCGTAGCCATAAATAAAATTAGCCTGATTGACCATTTCATGGTGGGTGCTGATGACTACATTTGGTTCCTTCCCCTGCCAGGGCTCCTGAATCATAAAAGAGGTGGGACACCTGCACCAGGGTGGGGGGAGCCCTGATGGCGGGATTTCAAGCAGTGTAAGAACTAGCAGGGCAGGGAGACCTGGGGACTGCAGTCTGGGTGGGGAAAAATGGGGACTCGTGTGACTTACTTTGTGTAAGCCACAGCAGGCAAGGTGGCCATCTGCTCTTCCCAGGGCGGCCTGCAGCCCCGGGCAGGGCGGAGCAGGGCTGGGCGGGATAGGAACGCCAAACGTCCAGCTCTGGGTGCTGGCTGGAAGACCGGCCTGGGTGAGCTCCTCCTCACGGCTGAGGAGGGACAGAAGTTGCCAGAAATGGAGACCCAGGTTTGGAAGGGAAGTGAGGGAATGTTGCAGGAGATTCTTTCCAACTTTACCAGTGACCAAAAAGCACCTGTAGAATCAGCTCGCTGGTTCCAGTCCTGCTCTTCTTCGGACTGGCCTGATGGCTCAGACGTGTGGCTCCACCTCTGGCCTGCTCTGTCCCAGGGGGGCTTGGGCTGCATCAGCGATTCTCCTCTAGGGCTGAACACCCCAAACCCCGTTCCCCAGGCCTCAGAAGCTCCAGGGGTGGAACCTGGGCAGGCGCATATGGAAATAACTTCTTAGGTGACTGTTTCGCACCACTAGCTCAAAACCCTGGACCAAAGGAGCCCTGAGTCCGTGCTACTCAAACTGTCATACACATAACCCTTGCCAGAGCATCCTGGGAAAATGCCGATTTCCTCCCCAGAAGGTCTGGGGAAGGGCCTGAAACTCTACAATTCTGACAAGCTTCTAAGGGCCCTGGATGCTGAGATCTCGTGGACTTAGTGGACAGCCCGAGATCAGTGGTTCTGAAAACACCCTACAGGTTTTGAAAAGAATCCATGGGACATCCTCCCAGTCTTCTGATTGAAATGGTCCCTGGAGTGAGCTCCCAGCGCGGAGTGAGCCCCCAGGGTGGGCATTTTTAATACTCTCCAGGCGGTTCTGCTGTGCAGGGGCTTGGAGACCCAGACACGAAAGTCCTCCAACAGAAGCGCCACGTGGGGAGCTTTAGCTCAGGGGGTAGGGACGCTTGCCTCCCCTGGCCCAGTTTTTCCATCCTTTCTGGGCTGGGCATGTGAGTCCCTGAGAAGTTAAGCAGGCTACAGTCATGGGAAATGGGTACACGGGCCCGCAGCAGGGTCCTTGAGGGCCGGGCTTGTCGCTTGAGCCAAATCAAGCTCAGAACTAGAAGCAACTAACAAAGAAGGCGCTAAGGGCCATAAAAAGCAATTGTCTCTCCTTCAACAGGACATGGAGGTGACAGCAGAGGAACTGGAATATGTTTTAAATGCTGTGCTGCAAAAGAGTAAGTGCTCATCCCCCCCCATCGGGGACCCCAGGGCTCCTCTGGAGGGGACGTGTGACCTGTGACCTCATGCTGCCTGGCTCTCCTCCAGCTCCCCCAGGCTCCCTGCTCTCCAGGGCCGACTTTAGGTAGACTTTCAAAATAGCTTTCATTGCTTATTTCCTGATTACGAGAACGATGCCCATTATGGGAGAAAATTACATAAAAATGCAAAAAAGCCTAAAGACAAAGACAGAAGCCACCAATAATCTAACCACCCATAGATAACTGCTGTTAAGATATGTGTGTGTATCATGTGTCGTTGGTGTGTCTCTCAGTGAGTGCATATATGTAAATTGTAGATACAATTTTGTTAATGTAACAGCTTTGAGACATAATTCACATACTATACAATTCACCCACCATGGTTTTTAGTGTGTTTGCAACATTGTGCAACCATCACCACAACCAGTTTTGGAACATTCCATCACTCAAAAACTATACCCAGTAGCAGTCACTCCCCACCTCCCCCAGGCCCTGAAACAACTGATCCACTTCCTGTCTCTATAGACTTGCCGATTCTGGACTTTTCATATAAAAAGAATTATGTGGGGTGCCTAGGTGGTTCGGTCGGGGAAGCACCTGCCTTCGGCTCAGGTCATGATCCCAGCATCCTGGGATCGAGCCCCGCATCGGGCTCCCTGCTCACCGGGAAGCCTGCTTCTCCCTCTCCCACTCCCCCTGCTTGTGTTCCCTCTCTCACTATCTCTCTCTCGTTCTCGCTCTCAAATAAATAATTGTGTTTTTTTAATTAAAAAATAATAAAAATAAAAAGAATCATGTAATAGGTGATCCTAAGTGACTTCTTTCACTTAGCATAACGTCTTCAAGATTTATCCACGTTGTAGTGTTTGCCAGGACTCTTCAATCCTTTTTATGGCTGGATAATATTTCACTGTAGGAGTATACCAGGTTTTGTTTCTCCATTGCTCGCGGATGGCCATGAGGGTTGTTGCCACTCTCTGGCCGTTATGAATAATGCTGTTGTGAACATTCATGAACGAGTCATCTGTGTGGACATTTCTCTTGGGTATATACCTCGGACAATTGCTGCCAGAGTACGGTAACTCTGTACTTCCTGTTTTAAGGAACCATCCGACTGTTTTCCAAAGTGACTCTTTTACGAGCAGTGTACGAGTGTTCAAAGTTCTTCAGTAATTTCAAATCCTGCCTTTTAAACTGACTTTTTATGAGCATTTCCACAGATCATTAAATGTGCTTCAGAAACATGGTTCTTAAGGACTGTGTAACAATCCATCCTTCGCACATAACCTTTTCTGCTCCTACCCTTCCATTGGTCATCTATGTCATCTCTAAATTTTTGCCATTATACATAACCAGATGATAAAGATGTTAAATTGTAATTCTTTGCTTGGGATTCTTAAAACTAGGATAAGTGAATGGAAAGATCTTCCCATTTTTTATATTGTGCAGTGTTGCCTTCCCAAAGGCCATGTCAGTTTCTGCTCTCACCAGCAGCCTGAGAGTGAGCACGTCTCCCCCTCACCAGCCCGGGATCTGACCACGCTCTTGGACTTCCAGCAGCCGGCAATAGGCTTATCTTATCCCATGTCCAATGAATTCTGCTTTCATGTGTGATTTCAGAAAAGGACCTCCAATTCAAGAAGCTAAGCCTGATTTCCTGTAAAAACATCATTTCTCTAATGGATGTATCCTTCCAATCTGTGGGCAGAAAGGGCTGTGTTTTCCTGTCGTGCAGACCCTCTTAGAATGTGGCACCTTTAACCGGTAGGATAGTCTTCTTCTCGGGGAACATCCAAAGACCAGGCAGCCCCTAGAACTGGAACAGAATCAAGAGGCACAGACTGTCCAGTGGAGGGGGGGATGCTTTTGGAGGGACTTGGGGTGCCACTTGGGGGGTCTTGTTGCCACTTTGGGGTCCCAGCTAAGGGAATAATAAGGGAATGTTTTTATTGTGCTTTCTCGAACTTGCTGGTGCCATCCCCATCTTACCTCTGCCATTTCCCCTCTTCAGAGATGCGTGGTTTGATAATTAAGCCACCTCCCTAGGAGCCCTAACTCTGCTACCTGTCCCCCAGGCCAACCGGTTGCCCCTCCATCCCTGAAGTCCCGCGAGGCACCTTGGGTTGAAACCCTGCTCATCTTCCTTCCTTCCTTCCTTAACGCGCTCGGCACAGACCAGTGGCAACGGGAAGCTAGAGTTCGGGGAGTTCACAGTGTTCTGGGACAAGCTGAAGAAGTGGACAGTACGTGACCCCGCCGGGCATGGCCTCTGGGGATTGCGCCAGCCTGGAGCAGGAGGGGGTCTTCAGCGGCCAAGGGAAAGGGCTGAAGGGAAGGAATTGTGATGCAATTCCCCAGTTCCCTTCTCCTGCTTACAGAAGTACCCCAGGGCTTGCGCCCGGAAGGGAAAGGAAAGCAAAAGGTGGAGGAGCCTCTCCTCCTGTCCAGGCTGTATGCAGTTACTGTCAAATGTGGCGCCTTCGGGTACCCTCCCTCTGGTTCTCAATGCCTCTGTCCTCCCCACAGAACCTTTTCCTTCAGTTCGACACTGACAAGTCGGGCACCATGTCCTCCTACGAGCTGCGGAGCGCCCTGAAAGCCGCAGGTAAAGCAAAGCCTGGGAGGTCAAGTGTGGGCTGCGCGTGGCCAGGACTGTGTACGGCCCCTTGCTTCTCATGCCCTATGAGGTGGCCGGTCTTTGACCCGAGTTCATGCTTCTTGAGGGCACAGCCCTGCGAGCGCCAGAGCCAGGCCTCAGGCTCAGGACTCGCTCGCCCACGCCAGGGCCGTGTTTTAAACCACTGTGTGGACATTGGCAGGAATCTGTAAAATGGATCCACTAAGGGTGAACTTAGCCTGACCCCCTCTGCCACCTCTGGCCAAGTTTTCTGGCCGAGCAGAGGTACATGTGACCCTTTGGTGGCAAGCTGCAGTGCCTCCAAACCTCTAATTGCTGCTCTCGGAGGGTGATGACCATGGACGAGGCAGGGCGTGCCCGATCCCATGATTCAGGGTTGGGGAACGGAGCTCCTCTGCCACCTGCAGCCCTGTCCCTGGCCTTGTCCCCGGCTTTGTCCCCAGCAGACGGAACCCAAACCAGATGGTAGTCACGGTTTATATCAGCTCTGTACACAAAGGATGGGAGCCAGGTGGTGTCCCTCGCCCTCTGGCAGTCACCACCAGGGCAGCCCGAGTCTCTGGGGCTCTGCCGTCCTGGGCTCACAGCCGTGGTTCTGAGGCCACTGCAGCCCCCAGTCGCTGCCAAGTTGCGTGGTGTTTCTCACAAAGCGTGCTTCACAGACGTGCCCCCTGGGCCCTGCCAGAGCTTAGAATCGGGTTCCCTCCCAGGTGAGCCAAACATCTGGAAACATCGTCAGCTTCATGGTCTGATAAAGGGACAGAATGTCCAAAATCGGGACCATCTTGGGTCCTACGAAAGGGAGGAAAAAAACCAAGGTTAGTTATAAAGTGGAAAATACCACAGAGGAGGAGGGCCTGATTTTCTTAAGGGCTGGTGACCCTGTTTCTAGGGGAGGAGGACGGAGCAGAGGGGCAGACGTGGGGGGCAGGAGGGTGCCCTGCTCTCCCCTCCTCCAGCCCCATGGAGAGCACATGCTAGGATCTGGGGTATCACCAAGAACCGACACCATTGGCTGGCTCCAGAAACCGCTCCCAGTGTCTGACTAGCCTCCTCCTCTGTCTGGGATTGGGACTAAGGAGCAGGGAAGACCTGGGTAGACGTCTAAGCAGTACATTGAATGTTCCCTGGGAAGTGAGCATGTAGACTGAAGTCAAGGGGGGGGATCCCTAGGATGTAGGTTAGACACTGAAGCATTAAATATTGGATCTAAAGTGACTTTACCTCTAAAGCCCTCATTTAACCAATAAGGACAGGAATCCCAGAGAAGCAAAGCAGACCGCCTCTGGCTCAGCCTGGGTGGGTGAATGAGCCCCTGCCCCAGGGGGTCACTCACCTGGGGCAGGAGCATCCCTTCTAGAAACACGATTTCCAGAGCCCTCAACACCTTTGGGTTAAAGTGCTCTCCAGAAAGGGAGGTGGGGGAGAAGGGGTGGGAGTAGGGCTCAGACACCATCCGGCTTAAGTTCCCGCAAGTGAGGCTTCCTGAAAAGTCAGCAAGATACAACGGGTAGGTGAATGTCAAAACCAAGAGCATGACCTCACAAGTCCACCAGCATCCCTCCTGATGGAGACGCACACTGTCACGCTGCATCCACGCTGAGGACGGGGAGCCCACCTGCTGACTGGGTGTGCCCCAAAGGTGCGCCCCACGGGGCCCAGCCAGGACCAGCTCTGTATCTCCTCCCCGGCCCCACAGGCTTCCAGCTGAGCCATCACCTCCTGCAGCTGATCGTCCTCAGGTACGCGGACGAGGGGCTCCAGCTCGGCTTCGATGACTTCCTCAACTGCCTTGTCCGGCTGGAGAATGCGAGCCGTGAGTGGCTGGTGGGGCTGCGCCCCCTGGGTCCCGAGGGGGGTCCACATCCCCTCAGTTCCCTTCCAAGAGCAGGTGACAGCCAGCCAGCCATAAATCCTGGCAACAAGAGGCTCTGTCATGTGATCTCTGTGCCATGTGCGTGGTTAGATGAGGGGTGGGGGTGTGGGAGTCTTCTCTGCCGGGCCATCCTTAAGAATCTTCTCATCCACGGCCTCTGGGTTCGGGCCACTCCGCTTGCTGAGTCATCCTCCGCGTGTACACTTGCAGTGTCCTTGCAGGACAGGTTGGGGGGGTGGGTTCCGCCTCCTATCTGAGGGAAGGTCTGATCCGGGGTCAAATCCATCATAGCCCATAGAATCAGAGGAGTCTCTCTCTCTCCCTCGTCTTCTCTTTCCTCCTCTGTCCCCCTCCCTCCACCCAACCTTTGTGTTTTTTAAGCCCTAGATGCTGACCTGGTTTTCCCAAACAAGATGTGTTACCCCAAGAAGAGAGAGAGAAATTATGTGTAGGGATCCTTAGAGCGCGCAGTTTGTGATCACACTGTCACCAAGTTGAAGCTGAACGAAGCGCATCCAGGGGCCTGGAACCCAGCACCAGGGTGGCCACCATGATTGGGAGCGGGGGAGAGAAATGTGTTGGTGCCCAGTGCCCTGCACACCTGAGGATGCCCATGCTTGGTTTCACGCTTCAGTGTCACCATCTTGAATCTTCATCATTTTTTAACAAAGGCTCCCACATTTCCATTCTGCGCTGGGCCCCATGAAGTATGGACCTGTCCTGCTTGGCATTTTCTAAAGGATGTTTGCTAGGTGACCTCAAGGACTTGCTAAACCAAGGCAGGGCCTGTGATCCTCGGGTCTACCGTGCCAGAGGTCCCTTTGCTTCTTTTGTGACACTTGTGTTCTACATGTGATTACCTGTCCCCAGGCTGTAATCCCCGGGAAAACCGCACTTAGGGGACAAGTGAGGCTTATGGGTGGGCTGATCATGATGACTTGAGAGAGGCAAGCAGGTGCTGAAGGGCCTTGCACACCAAGCCAGGAGGCTGGGCTTTCTCTAGGTGGTTACCACTAGCTAGTAAGAGGTGCGTTTTAGAAAGGCCCCCCTGAAAGGTAGTCACTTACTAGAATTACACAGTGGTCAAAACCGACCTAAAAAGAATGAGATTTGGTAGCTTCTCTTCTCTCAGCTGCCCCTGTCCTTTCTAAATCCTCTCAGCCCGATCCTTCCCAGCAGGGGGTTCTCAGCTTGTTCTTACAAAATCGAGGAATATTAGGGAGAAGGCACTTTGGGCTTAACACCATCCTACTCCAGGATCCTCTCCTTAGATCCACCACCTGGAGAACTTTTTAAAATACCAAGGCTAGGGCTTTACCCCAGGATTATTCAAACTTTTTATTCTCAAAATTTTTAATCAGACACTTGAATATAAGGAATAATAATCAGTCCCCATGGGCCCCACACCAGGGTTCCTAAACTTTACCACACATTACAACCCCTCCAGTAGCTTTAAAAAATTTCGATGACCTGGGGTTGGGGGGGTGGGCAAAATAGGGGAAGGGGATTCAAAGGAAAAAATGTTTTGTGATAACCAGGCTGCACAGGAGGCCAATTAATTAGAATCCAGGGGGTGGCACGCAGCATCGCTGTTTATAAAAACCCCCCAGATGGTTCCAGCGCCTTACACCAGCCTCAACAATGATCATCCTGCTAATCTTTCATATGTTCTTCTAACATATACTTTTTTCGAATTATTTGATAACAGAGCTCAGAAATTCAGTCCTTCCCTCTGTAAATATCTCTAACAGGTAGGCTTGTTTTCAGCACAGTGCTCATGCTGTCTGTACCCCCAACACACTTGTCAGTGAGCCCTCAACATCATCTAAGACCTGGCCCATGCTGAACTTCGCCAGGTCCTCTTTCCACATTTGCTTGCTTGTCTAGGGATCTACTCACTGCACTTGGCTGTTGGGTTCTGTCTCTTTTGTTCTATGACAGTCCCCTCCCTTTTTGTTATATTTTTAAAGTTCCTGGGAGACTCTTAGGGGAAGCCAGACTTGACTGGCTTGGCCACTTCGATTAAAAGGGGAGACTGAGGCCCAGAGAGGAAAGTAGTTTTCAGTGCGTTAGCTGAGATGTCCAGATCAGCCAGCTCTCCGTCCTCCCCCTGCTCCTCCTACATGTGCGGGCACCTACAATGCTCACCTTCTCCTTAGGGACTCGTAGAGATTGAACGGCTTTCAAGACTTATGCAAAACTTCATGTACATGAGCTTTTTCTCTGGGGAGAAGGCCCGTGGATTACGAAGGACCTGTAGCTCCCCAAAAAGTTAGCACAGGGGAGATGTTTGGGGTCCAGGAGCTGGCCAGCTGACTGGCATATTGTAGAGGACAGCACGTGCCACCCAATGCTAAGGCCACCAGCTCTGCCATGCCAGGAATTCAAGAGCCTCCACCGTGTGACAGAAATCCCTGTGCAGTTGGCCTGAGTCTGGCCTGCCATTCCAGAAGATCCTTGCTTACCACCAGATGGAGCAGCTCCTCCATGGACTGCCCTGCAGGCCCCAAGGTCACTAGGAAAGAAAGAAACCTGTTGAAGGAACTGTCCCCACAATGATGCCTTTCTCGTGTCTCTCCTATTAGGGGTGTTCCAGGCTCTCAGTACGAAGAACAAGGACAAGGAGTTCATTCATCTCAACATAAACGAGGTATGATCCAGCCAGGGCTAGGCAGAGCCCCCGCTCTATAAATGTTTGCTGAATGCATGTGAAGGTCACACTTAGCCATGGGCGTAATAACAACAATGAAACTGCTAATATTTTTTAGGTACTAGTCAATTAGCAGCCAATGCAGTCGTTACAATAGTCCTGTGAGCTAAGGATTAACAGTATCCTCATTTGGCAGAAGTGGAAACTGAGGCATAAAATGATTAATCACCTGGAACAGAGTGAGCAAGTAAACCCTGCCTTCTTCTTCTCTTCCTTCTGCCGTATGGGTTCCTCAGCCTGCCTGCCTTCTAGCTTCCAATTCGTTCTCTCCCCTTGCGCATGTTGTCCTGTGGGTCTCATGATTCTTGGGGGTTGTGTGTGTGTGCACGCACATGCATGTATGCACATGTTTGCACACACCTCAAAAACCCTGAGAAAGACACAACTTTTGCCAGTTACAGGGCTAACCACAGCAAAAGTGATGGAGGGAAGAGCCTGGATCAGAGTCTCAGAGGCTTCGAAGAGGTGTCCCAGGTGTGGACCGTCCTGTCCCCACTGCCTAGAGTGCGGTCCGCAGACCAGCGGCGTGCGCATCACCTAGGGGAGCTGTTAGAAATGCAGAGTGCCACATAGTGATTACAGCCCACAAAACTGTTATAAACTTCAGAGTTGCTAAGAGACTACATCTTAATTGTCCTAGCCACACACAAAAAAGAAATTATAATCATGTGACCTGAAAGAGGTGTTAGCTAATCACATTGCAATATGTAAATACATATATAACACTTACACAGTGTTAATGTCAATTATATGTCAGTAAAATGAAGACAATAAAAAATTACACAAACAAGAAATGCAGAGTACCAAGCCCCACCCCGGACCTGCTGAATCAGATCTTGTTTTAGGAGGATCCCCAGTGATTCCTACACATACTAAAGTTTGAGAATGCTGGTTAGACATTCTCCTACCCAAAGGCAGGGAGGAAACTATAGAATGCCTCCCTTCACTGGTTCCCATGATTTCTTTCTTTTTTTTCTTTTAAAGATTTTATTTATTTATTTTGACAGAGAGAGACACAGTGAGAGAGGGAACACAAGCAGGGGGGAGTGGGAGAGGGAGAAGCAGGCTTCCCGTGGAGCAGGGAGCCCGATGCGGGGCTCGATCCCAGGACCCTGGGATCATGACCTGAGCCG